AGATACAATTCTTCCAGAATTTCAGAGCTTTCTCTTTATCAGGCTTTTCATTTGTTGTTACTCCATCTCCATCTCTAAGCTCTTATAAAACTGGTGCTGATTTGCTCTGAACTGTGAGTTTTCCCTGAATTGAGTTATCTGGTTTTCATATCTTTTAACCTTTTCAGCAACGGCAACAACCCTCAGCTTCAGTTCTTCAATTACTATTGCAATCTCTTTATTCTCCAAATCGTATCTTGCTTCCAGTCTGCTTTTGACCTGATTGTTCTTTAGCTGACCTTGCCTTCTTCAAGTTGTTATTGTTATTGTTGTTGTTGTTGTTATTATTATTATTATTATTGATATGTAAGTATGCACTCTATTTAAGGAATTCAGGACAAGAGTAGGGTGTAGACTGCTGCATGGACCACAAATTGCTATAAAATAGGCTACAGTTTGAGAAAAATATTAATACAAAAGATTGAGAAAAGGAGACGGCTGGGGAAAGGAAGTGTTATGGATTCAGTACAGTATAGTTCTAGCCTTAGGATGAGAATTGTGTAGGAGTGGAAATGATAGGGACCAAATTTTGCCACTGCAATTGTCACTAGATGAATATTTAATTGAAGTGGCGATTTCACCTGTGACCTATAGGTTGCAAGTATCATTGTGTGTGTCTCGGTGTGTAAAAACACACAAACATACAGTGCTCGTAGTTCTGCACTGTGGAAACTTAGTTTATATGGTCCTTGATATGAAATCTACAGGACCTCACAGGATCAGTCATTTAGACTTTACATAATGGGGAGCAAGAGAACCTGACCAATGTGCTGTTAAGTTCAACAGCAGCAGATAGTACCTAAAACATTATTTCTCAGGAGTGAAACTTAAAAGCAATAAGTATTATATTTGCTAATGACCCCAAACATGAAGCTCAATTAAATAAAATTAAATAGTGCTGAAATTTCAACTGAATTCTATTACAGGACTATTTTTCCACAGAAAAACACAACAGCCAAAACACAACAGTCTTAAATTGTTATTTGAAAACCATACTTGTTAAAGTTCCCAATCTACCATTTATTGTATCTCAATTAGGCTTGACTGATACATTTACTTCATAGGATCCAAACTGAGTCATAGCTAGAATAAACACTGAAATAATTAAACCTAAATGTTAAGTTTCATCAATTTCAAGCTTAATATATCTCATAAAATCAAAAGGACACATTAGTTGTTTCCATTGCTCATTTCTTCCAGACTTAATGAGATCATCACCTGTCAAATATAGTTTAATCTTCAAAATTATGGTATGCTGGATTTTAATGTGTCCATACTGGTCTGTCCGCTTACACTATTCATTATTTTATGAAGTTCTAAATAGCTCTCGGAGGTAAATTGAGGTAAATACTGCTCTACAAAATTGGCACAATGTATATAATTAAAGTTAAGGATAGAGAAATACAAATGAATTTAGTTTCACATTTGCCAATTTACATTTTTGTATCCTATTTCTGAGTCAACTTGTATATGTACTTTGATATATGTCTTCTCTAAAATACTATCTTTTGTGGAAGGCTTTTTGGATTGGATTTGGATTGTTTATTTNGCTGACTCTCTGTAAACCGCTTAGAGAGGCCTGAAAGGCCTATGAAGCGGTATATAAGTCTACTGCTATTGCTATTGCTATTACCTTCTTTGCTTGCGTGCACCTATCAGTGTCATGCCACGGCTTCCCTTCACTCACTCACAAACCCCACATCTCCTTTCCCCCGTTTCCCTGAGCTCACAAAACATACCATGTGCCCTTTTCCTGGCACACATGTCATTTGCACCCCCATACCCTCTCTGACCTCATGTTTTGGCACCATCCCAACTCACATACAGCCTGAATTGGGTGTCCTGAACCCTTCCCCATCCCATGACATTGCTGTGTTCCTTACTTGGAATTCCCTGTTTTTTTCTGTTTAAAGACTTGTGTGACTTGAGATTGCAACTGGGATAGCCTGGTTTATTGTTGGTAAGCAATGTGACCACGTGATGTTCTTTCTAACCATATTGCTCAATGATGGCTACCAACTGCCAACTGCCTTGGTAAATTAAGGAATCCATTTACTCAAGAGAATTTTGAATTCCTCCTTTAAAGTGTTTTTTTGAAATATTAGCAAAATTAGTGAGAAATTTAAAGTAATAGAAATATTTTGGCTATTTGCGAAATCTTAATGTACTTTTCTATTTCTCCCAAAAATGGCTTTTAAGCAAAGACTTCCATTAATTAAGAATACTATCTAAACCAGGGGTAGTCAACGTTTTTATATCTACCGCCCACTTTTGTATCTCTGTGAAATTTTCTAACCGCCCACTGGTTCCACAGTAATGGTGATTTATAAAGTAGGGAAGTAACTTTACTTTATAAAATTTATAAAGCAGAATTACAACAAATCCCTACCGCCCACCATGAAAGCTGGAACACCCACTAGTGGGCACTAGGGACCAGGTTGACTACCACTGATTTAAACAGAGGACTCTGTTGCAAAGCATAAAGGCATGAACATAATATGTACATCATGTGATTACACAAGTCATGCTTGTTCTGCCACACCTGATGCAAGTACATCAGTGATGTCACTTGCACAATGTCACTGGGCATGGTATAGTTTCCCCCCTTCTCCTTTATATATGCTTATATTACAAATAAAATTGATTTATTCTTTCCTATGCCTGGAATCTGAAGAGACCAGAGAAAAGTGATGGTAAGATAGGCAACTCTACCACCTTCTGAAAATCAACAGTCTCAAGTGACAACTGTTGTGAAAAATAATAATTGTGCTGATTGTGTTAATGTGAAGTGCTGCTTTGGGAAAGTGCAAATGCAGAGAACACTTGGAACAAGTGACAATATAAATTACAACTCAGTTTTTTATTTCTGTAGAAAAATTATAAAATAAATAAGTCATTGAGTTGTGTGAATATATTAAATAAGAATCACATTTACAGAAATAGAAAACCTCTATACTTACATATTTACATTAAAAAAATCTAAAAACTATTTTTATCTTACATACAAGCTACTGTCAATAAAGTTATGTAGAATTATTCTTATATAAGTCCCATTACATTTCATAGTTTACCTAAACATGTGCATAGAACTATAACTTGAATTAAAGGTGCCTCTTTGTGGAAGCAATTTATATCTGTAGAGAAAATATTAAAGCTAATAACATTGCAAACTAAATTCAAAATGCTTTATCTTGCTCTTTAATACTCTGTAAAGAAAAATCCCTGGAAGTTGATAGTACAATAGTGTATTCATGTTGATCTTTTTTAAAAAATAAATATTGTCTCCCTGCCTGCCTGCTTGCCTCTCTCTCTGTCTCTCTCTGTCTCTTCTCTGTCTCTCTCTCTCTCTCTCTCTGTCTCTCTCTCTCTCTCTCTCTCACACACACACACACATCTTATAAGGTGGAAGATGCTCAATTTTGGCTCAGAGCAATGCTTGTTCATCCCAGAGAAGATAGGGGAGAAGCAGTTCTCACTAATTAGTTAGTGTTTGTTATGAAATCTGGAATCTGATAGAAATTTTTAGTCAATCAAATGTATGTGGTGGTTAGACAGATGTAGGATTTAATTTAGAGATAAGTGGAGGAGGCAGAGAGAAGACGACCATTTGGCTATACAGATGCTGGTTACATGTTAAATTACTAGTATGTTGATATGGTAATAGATAAGAGCCAGGAAGAACAAGCATGAGAAAACAACAACAGTGCATTTGTTTAAAATAAAGTCTTTACATTAACCAAATCTCACAATTCTTATTGCTGAAATACTAGGTTATTCCCCACCTTAAAACATTAAAGGGAAAACTGAACATTCTGGAATGGATATGTTGCAGACGTTAAGGACTAGACTAATCTCAAAGCCACCAATAAATAACTCTGTTGGTTGATAGTTTTGCAAACTGATTGCATCTCCCCAAACACATGTTTTAAAACCAGAGCAGCAACTTGGAAGCTGCTCCAATTGCTTATGTACTTTCCAATGAGACAAAACTACATTCAACACTGGCACTTCTGGCCTGGCACATTTTCATCAAGCAAACGGGAATCCTCCAGATGACAAGGTTGGAGGCGTGGGAGAAACAAGGCACACCCTGCACCGTTTGTCCCGGTTAGGAGTCATTGAGCTCTTTAAGCAGCGTGAGAGACTTACTCAAAGCCAGCTTCATTTCTGCCTTTCACCTTCTTGGGTGTGTGTGGAACACAGCAAAGAATACAATCACAAGTGCCTTTCAAATTCATGCTTTCTCACATACTCTCTCAATCAGTTCATCTCTGCCAAAGGTAACATGTGCAAAAAAGAACTATGCGGGGCAGCAACCATTCGGTATTCTCCTACAACTGAGCAGCACTGGCTGGTGTGCTGGCTGGTGCTGCTGTGAAACCAAAGCCATTCATTCCTGCATGTACAGTTGGCTATTGCCAAGAAAAAAGGGATGATCATCCTCCTTGCAGCACACACAGTTTCAGGTTCTGCCTTGATTTCTTGGTTTAGATTTTTCAGAGATGCCTCCATGAATTAGGACATGCTTCAGCAACAGCTTCTTTTATTATCTGGAAGAGGCAAGCATGGCATTAGCATATGGGACTTTCTGGAAAGCTGAACAAAGGAGGCTGCTACAGACACTACTAAACTTGGATTTTGTTAAAAAGATTTTTGGGGACAATTTAAAGATTTGGGTGAACTATGTAAGGATTGCAGTGCAGTTATTGGAGGTTATTGGAACTATATAAGGATTGCACTGCAGTTATTGGAGGTTACCAAATAACAATATACGATTTTCCCTATATAAAATTATCAAATTATCAAGTCACACAACTGTGCAATAATACTGTATTCAATAGAAAGCACATTTATGATAATAACATTTTCTGTGCTTACATACCAACAGGTAACAAAATATGGCATTTATTTTACGTTACGTTTAGTGTACATTATTCTGAATATTTCTCACAGTATTTATCTGAACGCATGCATCGAGCTATAACTTGAATAATTTCTGATCTAATTTCTGGACATCCATCTCAACCAAGAACCTTTTGCAAAAATTGCCAGAATTACAGCTGGCAGAACAGACAATTCTTGGATGTAGTTATCAGTCAGTTAGGTAGAGAGTTGGTTTTTTTTTTTTTAAGCCTTAGGAGAGTTGTACATTTGATGGTTGACCAAGTATCTCTGCAATTATAGTGCCAGACTCTGTAACATTGTTTTCAGGAAATGCTCTACATTATACATACAGTAAAGACCTGTTCAAAAACACCCAACTCCTCTTATGAAGCTCATCTCCAAGAAGGCAGAATTATTGATTGGGATCCTAGAGTAATGCAATATAGGTAGACCTCAATTTACAACAGTCTGTTTAGTGATAGCTGGTATTATTTGAAGTTATGGCACTGAAAAAATTGGCATGGCTGTTTTCCACACCTATGGCCATTGCAGCACCTCCAATCACGTAATCAAAATTCAGACATTAGCAACTGGCTCATATTTAGGACTGTTGCGATTTCCCTGCGTCATGTGATTTGTGAGCTTCTGAGCATTAAAGCCAATGGGGAAGCCATATTCACTTAACCACTATGTTACTAACTTAACAACTGCAGTGATTCATCTAAGAACTGTGGCAAGAAAGATTATAAATTGGGCAAAACTCACTTAACTACTATCTCACTTAGCAACAGAAATTTTGGGCTCATTTGTGGTTGTAAGTCGAGGACTACATATAATAAAAAGAGTATATTTCTATTTGTTTCAAATGTGAAATATGTCCGTGTTATTAAAAAAACCCAGGTTGACACTAAAAGATAATGACTTTTTTAATTCGATCGAATGAGTTTTAAAAAGATTCCTGTTACTATGTACTATAACACAAAGCCTCATAATATGATAAGAGAATTGATAAAGAAAAAACAAATAGTTGTAAACTTCTGGAGTTGGAAGAATAGCATAAGATATAGTTAAAAGAATCCTTACCTTCATTTTTTTTAGACATTACTGCTGGGAATTCCATTTTCTTTTTTGAGATTTCTCCTTTCCTCTATTTCATTATAGTTAGTGCATTTTTTTCTTACCCTGAATAATAAAAACATTCATCTCCATCACTTTGTGGAATTATTTTGCTTTAAAATTGCTCAAGTACAAAATTATTTTAAATTATAAGTGTGATACAGAAAAACTGTGGGATATCAGGTTTCTTGCCCTGTTTAATTTTCTTCATTTGTGAGTAGCTAAGTCGCCAAAGGCACAACACTTTTGAATGAGCAAACCTCATCTAACCATGCAACTACTGTTATTTCAACAGTCTCTCAACATTTCAAAGGTGCTTCAAAGTCTAAAAGTTTGGGGGCATCTATTTTGAATATAAAAGAGTTTGACATGTTTAACAATCAAAAGATACAGTAGACCATTCTTTCTCTAAGAAACCCCATATAAACCAGACATTAAATTTCCAAGAATTAAAATAGAAAAAAAGTTTCAGAACTTCTGCATAAATAGAATGGTATGTCCAGTTGAACAATGTGGGGTGGGGAGGGAGCAGTTTTCTAACCATGGCCCTATAATTTAGGTTTCAAATGATCAATGGGTCCTGAAAAAAACCTTGTAATGACACAACTCTGTTACCTGAAAACACCTTTTCCAATATTTCATAATTTTGGGACTTCAAGAAATTTATGGGAATGGAAGCATTTTATTTCCACAGGACCTTACATTTCCATCCCCATCTTTAGCCTTTTTATCTTAAAGTCAAACTTTGGAGCAAAATTTGTTATTACACTCTTGGGAACTTGGGGTGGTGGTAGGGACATTCAGCAACACAGAAACAAACCTTCCAAGCTATAACAATCAGTTTACATCAGAATCCAAGTCAAAATTATTTATTAAATGTTAAGATAAGCAATGTGTTACATGCATAATATTGTCCCAAGGCGAGCATTTACATATTATTATTATTATTGTACAATTGTATCACAGCGGCCAGTTGTTTTGCTGGATTTGGCATTGGTTACTAGTCGGGCCCCACCCAGGGGCCTAGG